CTAACGGCCTTTCCATTATAGGCATTTTGTTTCTGGCCTCTAACAGCTTTTTTTTTTATTTTAATGTATGTATGTATGTATTTATTTTGTGTATATAGTACAGGGTTCACAGGGTCTCACTATGTAGATCAGACTCCTAGTGATTCTCCTGATTTCGACCTTCCAAGAGCTGGGATTACAGACGTGTGCCACCGTGCCCAGTCTTGGTTGGCTGGCCCAGCTTGTGGTGCGGGGATCCAACACCAGTCTCTTCACTCTGCCTGGGCAGGCACGTTAGTCCACCGAGCTATGTGGCCAGCTCTCGAACAGCTTTTAATAACGTTCAGTTGGAGTTCTACACGCCTCATTTACATATATATGTCAAGTTCTTTTTCTTTTTCGTTTTTTTTTTTTTTTTTTAGATCAGACTTAGGACCTTGTGCTTGCCAGGCAGGTGCTTATGCCCCTGAGCTATCTCCCCGGCTGTATGTCAAGTTCTTTTTGCTCACTCAAGAAATTTTCTGTCTTCTGTGAACAGGTGTTTTTTATTTTTATTTTTATATTTTATTTTATTTTATTTTAATGTCATCTGCACTGTCTTCTACTTCTTCCTTAACTCTTGTTTGTTTGTTTGTTTGTTTTAGGAACTGGGGCTTGAACTCAGGCCCTTGCGCTCGCCAGGCAAGTGCTTATTCTACTGAACCATCTCCCCAGTGCCCTTGACTCTGATCAATCATGTTATTCTTGTTGGCATCATCTAGTAGCTGTTGGATTGATTTTTCCTAGTCTCTTGCTTTTTTTTTGTGGAACCGGGGATTGAACTCAGGACCTTGCACTTGCCAAGGAAGTTCTTATTCTACTGAGCCATCTCCCTGGCCCTCTCTCTATTTTTTTTAATCTCTTTCTGCTCTAGAGTCATTAACCATGTCTTTTTTCATGGTCACCATCTTTGTAGTTATTTGAGACACTATTTCTCACTTTATTTTTTGCTGGAACCTCATTCATCTGCTTTGTTACTTCCCCTCTTACCACTGCAGAGGTTCCAGGTGGGTGGCTTTCAAATTATTGGTGACCTAGATATCTGGGATTGTATCTTTTAGGGCATGTGTGTGTGTGTGTGTGTGTGTGTGTGTGTGTGTGCAGTGTTTCACTACTCATCTCAGACTCGCATAGTGATCCTCCTGTTTTCAGCCTCCCCAGTGCTGGGATTACAGGTATGTGCCACCACATCCAGACTTGATTCCCGGCTCAGTGTGCCCAGGGGTGGGGCTGCTGTGGCATGTGGTGCCAGAGATTGAACCCTGGCCCCTGAGCTTGCCTAAGCAGGTGTTTAGTCCACTGAGCTATCTTGCTGGCCCATGGGGTTGCATCTTGCTTAAATGTCTTCTCCTTTTCTTTTTTCTTTTTTTTTTTTTTAAGTTTAATTCCTTGGTTGATGCTTGCAAATTGCTCATGAACAATAGCTTTATTGCTAGTATTTAGATCCCTCGCAAATGACTAAATTTCAAGATATCTTCTAGGTGTAGCTGGCTTATTCGGTTTTGAGTCGGTTGCAAGATCCTACTCCTTCAATTTATTGGGAATGAGAAGTTGCTGCCTGTTGGGCCCAGCCACTGCTTTTTGGAACTGGGGTACAGATTTGATTATGAATTTTTTTTTTTTTTTTTTTTTGTATTTTAGGGAAGGGTCTACAGGGTGTTCAGGGTCTCACTGCTAGATCAGACTCGTAGTGATCTGCCTGTTTACAGGCTTTCAAGAGCTGGGATTACAGGCGCACACCACCACAGCAGTCTCAATTGCAGTCTCAGCGCCCCATGGGGGTGAGGCCGGCACGGCAGACCTGGGGATGGAATCCCTGGCCCCTGAGCCTGCTTGCGGGCACTTTAATCCGCTGAGCTATTTGGCCGGCCCTTTGATTAGGACTCTTAAGGTGTCCCAGTCTTAGCATACCAGGAAGAACCCATGAGAGCAGCTGTGTCACTTTGGCTAGAGTGGTACGGTCAGCAACAAGAGTAGTATCAGACTGCCTAGAGCACGACAAACTGTGTTAATTATTGACTTGCTACCTTTAACTCTATGAACTGGATTTGTGCTTATTTAACAAAATCTAAAACCAGAAAACTGTATACTGTAGGGGCTGGTGAGATGGCTCAGTGGTCTAAAGCACCTACTTAGAACAAGCTTGGCAAGGCATCAGGGACCGCGGTTCAATCCCCCAGCACCACATGCCAGCCAGCCCCGCCCCCTGGTGGGCTGAGCTGGCCACACACACACACACACACACATAAAAATAAATAAATAAATAAATATTAAAAAAAAAAAAAAAACCAAAAAACTGTATACTGTAAACATCTGTATAATATGGAGATTTCCCCCTCAGGACTGAAATTTCATTTATTTATTTATGTATTTGTACAATTATTTAGTGGTACTGGGACTTAAGCTCAGGCCCTTGCACTTGCTAGGCAGACACTTCGGCCACTGGGCTATCTCACAGGGCCAGGACTGAAACTTTAAAAGAGATTAGGGGAAAAAAAAATAGAGAACTAGAAGAGCAAGAGATTAGAACTAAGGCTGGAGGACAAAGGCAGCGTTGGAGGGCTTTGGGAAACTGCTGAAAAAGCCAGAAGGGAAAGAGAGAAGGAAGAAATATGAATAAGAACAGAAAAGAATGACCACAGAGGCCTGGGAGATAGCCCAGTAGAATAAGTGCTTTCCTGGCAAGCACAAAGGCCTGAGTTCAATCCTTGGTTCCGAAAAAAAAAAAAAAAAAAAGAAAGAAAAGAAAAGAAAAGAATGACCACAACAAGAAAACTAAAAATAATGTTCACATTCATGGAAAAACAAGAACAGGGCCAGCCAAATAGCTCAGGGGATTAAAATGCCTGCAAGTAGGCGCAGTGGCCTGGGATTCAATCCCTGGGCCTGCTATGCTGGCCCTGTCCCTGGGGTGCACTGAGATGGCAACTGAGACTGGGCATTTTGGCATGCGCCTGTAATCCCAGCTCTTGGGAGGCTGTAAAAAGGCATATCACTACAAGTCTAATCTAGTAGGGAGACCCTGAACACCCTGTAGACCCTTCCCTAAAATAAAAAATAAAACAAGAACAATTAAGGAAAAAGAGAAAACAAAACAAGAAGAAAAAAAGGAAGACAAAAATAAGAAAAAATATATGCCCACTTTAAGGTATGTCCCTGCTGTCACTGGTAAAGAAATTGGGCAAACAGGGCCCAGGTCCATACTGACCAACCCCAGCCAAGTCAGCAGTGGATGTACAGCAGGGTAGTGGATAACCCTAGGAAGTATGTGCCTTCGCTCTGCGGAAGTTCAGACTGGTTTCTGGCCATGAGGCTGGAACCGTTTTGTTCAGCCTTCAGCACTGTGCCTCCTGCAGGCCTGAACTCGGGTCCTTGACCTCTTGCTGACTTGAGCTCAATTAATGTCATCCTGACCCCGAGAGCCACTTGCTGGAGCAGTTCTGCGTTCCGAGCTCAGCTGGCCTGTGTCCAAGACAGCTCCTGGCCAAGCTCCCCCTCCCAGGGGACAGCTAAACCCAAGTGACTCCACTGGTGGCTTCCTCGTGGAGCCTCTGGGGGACCAGTAGTCACCATGGGTCTGTAGGTTTGGGCCGTCCTTCCCATCCGGTGGGTCAGGGCTCAGGAAGAGAGCACTGTTCGCCACCTCCGTCATTGAAGTCTCTCTTGTCACTCTCCCTGTCCACTTCATTGCTTGCTTTGGATGCTAGCCGGGTCCCAGGGATCCACTTCCTGCCACCTTCTCTTCTTCATGTCGCTGTATTCGAGCTTCTGGATACCCAGTCTCCAAGAGGCTGCTTTTGTGCTGGCCAGCACTCTCCTCTGGAGGTCAACTTCCTTTGAAATTAAATTACTCTATAATGATCCTGTCCCGAGTTGCAAAAGCTAGGCACTGTAAGCCTGCCATTCCAGAAGCTCAGGCAGGAGGCTCACTGTGATTCCGAGGCCAGCCTGAACTCCGTAGTGAGACCTTGTCCTAAAAAACAGCAAAAAGGAAGGACCTTCTAGCTGACAGGAACTCTGCTGCAGAGCCCTGCCTGAGCTGATTGGACCTGCTGGTGCTTGCTTGTGTCCCTGGCCTTCTGGGAGTGGACCAGCTAGGAATGCTACATGTTCAGGAGCCAACCGCAACCATCACGGGGTCAGAGTAGGACTGAGGGACACCAGTGACCCTGTATGGGACCTGCTGTGCAGCCCCTGCTTCCTGAGGGTCACACGGTGTGCCTCGTGCCCCACTACCCCCACAGCCCTGCTGCCACCAAAACAATCGTCCTGAAGCCACCTAACCCCTTGGACCTGGGCTGCGTCTGGTGTGCATGAGTCAGCTGGTCTCTGTGCAGACGCTAAGTCAGCCGTAGGCCTGAAGCTCTAGCAACCCAGAGCATGGTTGGAATGGACAAGTATGGCGACCTCTGAAGGATGGTGGGAGCCAGTGTGGAACACGGGGCTCACTGCCGGCTGCGCCCAGAGAAGGGCTCTGAGGACCCCTCGCTGTTTCTATTTCCTGGGCCATCGGTGGCCCAGAGTAAAAGTATTGGGGCTCACTGACCAGGGTGCCTGCTGGGTGAGGACCCATCCCTCCCAGCAAGGTGCCGTCCTTCACCTTCTGGGCTCTGGCCCCACCTCTGCTAGGCTGGCAGCCTTAGTGCAAGGTGAGCCTGTCTCGGGGCCCTCTTCCATCCCTGTGGGTACAGCAGTGACCCTGTGGTGGCCCCTGATGCTCCAGCCTCGGTTTTAAGCTGCTCTTCCTAACCCTAGTAGACCCTTTTTCCTGCACTAAGAGTCCTGCATGGGGGCCACTTTAGAACTGGGTGTCCCTTTTTGTCCCCTAGTGTCACTACCCTCTGGGCAGACAGAGAGTCTATGGCAAGGTTCTGGGCAGGGTGAAACCAGGCAGCCGCAAACCTGCAAACCCTGTGCTGGGCGGAAGGTGGGGCTGGGAGCCTCTGGCCAGGATCCCTCTGGTGACCTGTGCACCCCCACAGCTCGCAGAGCGGCTGCTGTACTCTGGCAGCGCGGACAGGACCGTGAAGTGCTGGCTGCCGGACACGGGGCGCAGCGTGCGCACCTTCCCCGCCCACCGCCGCGGCGTGAGTGCCCTCAAGTTCCACGGGGGAACCTGTAAGTGACTGTCCTGGCCCTGAGCCCTAGAACTCTGTCTACAGGTGTGGGTATGGTTTTTCCCTCCAATCCTGCACTGTGGTCTGGGATCCAGGGCCCCAAAGGCAGGGTCTTCCCCTAGCTGTGCAGAGGGCCTGGCTGGACCTGGGGCTCCCCCAGCTCTAGGAAAGAACATGAGGCAGAGCAGCGTGGTGGTGCACACCTGGAATTCCAGCACCGTAGGGCTGAGGCAGGAGCACTGCCTCAGGTTTGAACCCAAGGCTTTGTGCATAGTGAGTTTGAGGCCAGCTTGGAGTACATAGTGAGCTTATCTAAAAAAAAAAAAAAAAAAAAAAACCAAAGAGTAAAGTGGGGTGATACAAATGTTCAGAGATCCTGGGTTGAAAATCCTGTCCCAGGGACATTCTACTTTCCAGGTGAGACTGCTGCACTTTAATCCAGTGTGCAGTGCATTTGGCCTCACTTGGCTTAGGTTTGACCTCAGATAAGAGAAAATCCAGCTGTTGTGGGGCTTATTATTATTATTAGTGTGTTTGGTATAAACACAGCTCAGGCTTGTCACCCTCCTGTTTTCAGCATTGGGATTACAGGCATGCACCATCACGCCCGGTCTTGGTGGCCGGCTCAGGGCGCCCAGCGGTGGGGCCAGTACAGCACGTGGTGCCCAGGATCGAACCCCAGTCCTTGTGCTTGCCTAAGCAGGCACTTAGTCCACTGAGCTATCTCGCCATCCGTGCTGTGGTTCCAATGAGGCAGTGGGTATTTTTCTCTCAGACAGAAGAACCAGGCTAGTATACCAGCAGGCTCCCCAGAGCCTTTCCTCTGTTGCCTGCTTGTTCATCCTCAGACACATCTGCATCCTTGAGTAGAGCTTCATGTTTCAAGATAGCTGCAGGGGTGCCAGGCACCGGCTCATGTTTTAGGCAGACAGCAGAAGAGGGCAGACCGGAGGGCTACATCTCCTAGCTACACAGCGCCCATCACCATGGGTCCTGGAAGTCCCGCTGGGAGGCCTGTGTTTGTAGCTCTTGGATTTCCACCTGCAAGAGAGGCTAACTTGGGCTGGGACGTTACTGGGAAGTTGAGGCAGGCACATTTTGCAAGGGAAGAAAGGCAAGCTCTCAATGCTGGCTCCATCCAGTCGGCTCAATGCTTTCGTACCCAGGACACAGGTGCACTAAGGAGGGAGGCGGGTCCTCAGCACACACTGCGCGACTGTGGTTCCCCTGCGGCAGCGGCAGTCAGTGCCCGCTGGGCCTTGGAGTCCCCTGGGGATGAGGGAGGGAAGAGCCACCTGGAAAATCCAAGCCGACCTCAGAGCAGACGTGCAGCCTCTGGTGCCCTGGGGCTTTAGGCTCCAGACTCAACACACTATTTTTGCCTTTGCTACATCCAGGCCTGGGCAGGAGACTGAGGCTGACCCCAGCAGGCCTGTCACGGACAGGGCACCCTGGCTGCAACCAGATGGTTACAGCTTCACTCCTGCCCTCCCTGGCACCCATGGCACCCTGCCCTCCTGGGCCGGTCTGACTCTTGCGTTTGAGGGGTGCAGGAGAGAAGCTGGAGAGTGGCGGGGTCACCCAGGAGCTCACACAGGCTGGGATGAGGGGCTGTGGGTGAGGGGCAGCACCCCGGGACCAGGGGCCTCCAGGAAACACCAGTCCCAAGGAGTGGGGGCGGGTCCTGGCTCTGAAACACAGCGCCCAGGGCAGGCGGCACTCGCCGCTCCCGTCTCGCCCTACTCTGGGGTGTGGCAGGGGCAGCTGAGGCCCACGTGCCGCTATTTGTCAGTGTTCACAGGCAGCGGGGACGCCTGTGCCCGGGCCTTTGACGCCCAATCGGGAGCGCTGCAGAGGGTGTTCCGCGGCCACGCGCTCGTTATCAACTGCCTGCAGGTAGGCCTGCCCCAGCCCCCGCTCCCTGCTCCCTAGCTAGGGAGACCCCTCCAGCACCCCCCACAAAGGTCACCTGACAGCCTGCCCACCCCTGCAGGTGCACGGCCATATGCTCTACACAGCCTCGCACGACGGGGCCCTACGCCTCTGGGATCTGCGCGGGCTCCAGGCCCCATGCCCCAGGCCCACGGCCAAGCGCAGTCTGTCACGACTCTTCAGCAACAGGGTGGCCTGCATCACAGACGCGCCCCTGCAGCCCACCTGAAGGGAACGTGTCAATGCCTGGGGACCAGAGGACCAGTGCCCAAGCCTAGCTGAACTGTCAGCTTCCCTAAGCTTGCTGCAGGGCGTCCCCCTGCCCTTGGGAACGAGGCGTCTCCCTATCCCGAGCCCTGCCCCCTGGCCACCCTGGCTCTCCAAGCTCCTGGGCTAGGGGCGGGGAGTCTTCTTTATCCAGAGTGGTAAGGGTGTTTTTTTTCCCCAAAAGCCACATTGTTGCTGTGGCAGATTGTCACCGGAGGCCTCATGAAGAACTCCCAATCCAAGCCTTGTGGGCAGGGGACAGCCCTGCTTCCTGGCTGATACTGGGGGCTGCTACCAGCCAGGATCTCCGTGGAGAGTAGCTGTACAAAAGCCAAGAGCTGGCATCCGGGCCCCCTGCTCTGGAGATTTTCCACCACAAATCCAGGGGGCCTGTCCCATCTAGGGCTGTGCAGATGGGTGGCAGGGCCTGCTGGCCTTGTGGACCTGGTGCCTACACTGTGTCCATGGGCAAGACTGTGCCAAGTGGTGGCCCACAGTGTGGAGCGCAGGCATCCTGCCAGTAGCTGAGGGGCGAGGCCAGGAGCCTCCTTGGCACCGTTGGCCTCCCAGGCTGCTTTTTCAGCCCTATGGTGCCTCCACAGTGCCCTGTGCCAGTCTCCGGCTGGTTCCTGGTGTAGGACAATGTAGGCGACAGTGCCTGACATTAAGAAACTGGCTGTATTCTGTGAAGGCTCCTGGGCAGCAGCCCGAGGCCGGGCAGGCACTGCTGCTCAGAGCGCAGCTAGTTTTTGGGGAGTGTGCTGGCTTGTAGGTGCCACCTGCTGCTTCCCAGATGACAGGTCTCATGGGCGATCTTGACACACAGGCTGGGAGAGATGCACACATTTTCGATGGGTCACGGCCCGACCCAGAAGCCCTGGGCAAGTGGCCTTGCTGGCACAGGTGCTGCTCTCGGGGGCCCTGGAGCACTCAGCCCCATGGGGGCAGGGATGTCACTTCTCGCTGGGGAGCTCCTCTAGGGTCAGATGCGGAAGTGGTATTGTGAGAAGCGTGGCCGAGAGCCAGACCCTGGTCCTGGGCTGGAGCCCACTGCTGCCCAGAGACAAAGCTTGCTGGTGGCCTGGCCATGCGCACTGGGGGCTTCGCGCCTGCCTCATTTGCCACAGCAGAACTGCCCCCTGCCCCCCGCCAGAGAAGCAGCAGCTGTTGGGAAGCTGGGACCTGACCGCTGTGCCACTAGTTTACGTATCTCCGGCACACATATGGGGTGACTGCTTCCACGGTGGCACTGAGGACACAAAGACAACCACTTGTCCCCGCTTCCTGGGCCCAAGTCATGTGGCAGTTCCACTGACTTTGCACTGGTCAGCCCCCTCTGCCCACAGCACAATTCCCATGCGCTAAAGGAGAAGGCCGGGCTGGGGATGCAGCCAGTGCCTGAGCACTTGCCCATGGGCAAGACTGGGTCCCCAGTACCACCAAAGTTTTTAAAGAAAATGGTTGTCATTGATCCATTTATTCAATCAGCCAGGAGGACAAGATTGTAGGATATCTGGGCAGAAAAACAGGGCTGGCACAGCAGCGTCACCAGGGCAGAGAAGCTGGCAAAGCTGGGGTCAGCAGCGCGGTCACCAGCCAAGTACAGCCCCTCACCATGCAGCCCCAGGCTTCTGCCCTGTGCCTGTCCTGGCTGGGCTTCCCACTGCCTGTACCTTGGGGCTCTGGGGCGAACTCTGCAACCCACTACCCCCAGGTTTCCTCCCTCATGTCTGTCTCAAAAGTGCCCCATACTCGGCTTCTTGCCCACTAGCACCCCACTGTCCCAGCTCTAGAATGACCCCTTGCCCTTTGCAATGCCTCTAAATTGCCAACCCTCAGCCACCCCTGCAGGCCCAGCTCAGCAGCCTGCCACTGTGCCCAAGAAAAGGACTTATCAGCCAGAGCTTTCGGGGAACCCCCACTGCCAGGCCCAACATTAAGTGGGGCCTGACTTCACATCCACCCTTGCCGCACCATCCCCCACCGCTAGGGCTGCCACTGCCCGCCAGCTTCCCTCCTACCTCACCCCCACCTGCATTGAGCTCAGCTTCAGGTCACCTGGGACAGACGCTTCCGCTCTTATTTCCAGCAGCATCATCCACTTTAAGACAAGAGAGGATCCCTGCTTTCCTGGCTGGGCTGCTCTTTACTCTGCCAAAACTGAAGCTCTGCCAGTGGGTTCCCAGGGGTGGCGCAGGGCCGTGCTGCCTTCAGTCAGGTGCGTGGGTCTCAAGGACACATGGCTGCTGCCAGCAGCACCCAGGCGCTGGGCAGAGTGCATCCCAGAGGACAGTCGCTCAGGCGGCACCACATCCTTTCAGGGACAGCTTCCATCACAGAACCCCCCACCCACCCACTGGGAGAAACACGTCTAAATCTGGTCTCGGGTGAGTTCCTGGGACAGCAGAGTCTAAAATGTTAATTCAAACTTGTAAGTTGCTTTTTAGCATTTAGAACTTCACATTTACTAAGAGACTGAGGCACTCTGCTGCACGTGACATCGATGGCAGCCTTCAGCTCAAGCGCACCCTGCTGAACTACAAGCAGCACCAGCACCTCGGGATGCAGGCCTGTGCTGCACCGCAGCGGGAATGACGGCCCAGGGGACACCTGGGGACGGTGGTGGGGTAGGAGAGGGTGCCCAGCGAGTCGGCACAGGTGGAGGACAGGACTTCGCAGCAGGTAGGAGAGGAAGCTACGTGTAAGGCTGGGGGACAGGAAGGGCAGGGCAGGCAATGTTCCTTGTCCCCTCCCCAGGGATATCCCAGTCTCAGGAACAGCAGGTGCCAGCTCCCCACTGCTGGGTGAGAACCCAAGTGGACAAGCAGAGAGAGGGGCGCCCTGGAGACAGATGGGCACACAGGGCCCCCGGTTGCCTCCTGCCTCTCCTACCGCGAGGAAGAAGAGGCGGCAGCGGCAGCACTGTGGAGCAGCAGCAGAGAACAGCAAGAATACAGACCCGCAGCGTTGGCTTTTCACGACAGAATTTATACCCAGAAGCGCCCTCATGTCTGCTCACGGCTCAGTTGGTTGCTGACTGTATATTTTCTACATAGGACAAGTACTCTGCGATAATAATCTCCTCATCTTCCAGAGTCGAGTCGAGATAATCTTCCTCGTGCTCGGGGATGTCTTCCAAGACCTCATTGACAGCCTCTGTGTCCATGTCCTCGTCTGTGGAGGCGCTGGAGGTTCCTACAGGGACACGGGAGGGTGAGCGGTTAAGAAGGACAAGCACCCCGGAACAACAATGGAAGCGAAGTCACTGCCTACCTGCGGAGTCCGAAGGAGACGTGGATGGCGTGGACGAGGAGTCCTCCTCTGGCAGCTGTAGGTCGGGGGGAAGGCTGCCGCCGTGGTGTGCCAGGGTCTGGGCGGCCAGCTGGACGTTGCCCCTGAACACCTTCAGTGCGGCCTCGGCCACTGCCGAGTCAAAGCCCATGTACACCAGCTAGGGCAGAGCAGTGACCACAACGTTCAGCTCCCCAGCTGCGCGCACCCCGCAAGGCACAGCAAGTCCGTGCCTCAGCCCAGTGGCTCCAGCACGCACACCGGTACCCTTCCTCTCACATTAGACCCCCCAGGCACAAGGCCTTTGGGAAAGGTCACATGAGATTTTTTTTTTTTTTCCCCTGCAGGGAGAGTCCTTTATTTTTCTAAAACAGGCTAATTGTCAGTTTCAGACGAAAAAGTGACCACAGAGGCAAGATTTTAGAAGTCACCTTGTGCTTCTCACAGACTTTTTTGAAGGTTTTTTTTTCCTGATTTCAAAAATAACAAATACATACCATAGACACTCAAAATGTCATGGGGAAAAAATGCATAGTTCAGTGTCTCAGAAATAGGTGAGATAACCAGCATGGTGGTGCACACCCATAATCCCAGCACGCAGAAGGCTGAGGCAGGAGGATCACTGTGAGTTTGGGACCAGCCAGAGCTACACAGTGAGTTCAAGGCCAGGGCGAACTGCACAATACGACCCTGTCTCAAAACAAACCTGCTAAGATTTGACAGGTTTTTTTCCTACAATTTTTCTAGTCTATGTAATTATGCATTTCTTGTTGAGACGGGATTTACTCTGTAATTCAAGCTGTCCTTGAACTCACTATGTGGCCCAGGCTGGCCACCCACTCACCGGGATCCTCCTGCCTCAGCCTCCCAAGTGCTGGGATTACAAGAGTGTACCACCACACCCAGTATATTATTTGTGATTTTATACTTTTTTTGAAAAGATTGTTTTATTTCAGAGGAAAAATAATTACAAAAGAAAAACCATTGTCATGATTTTCCCGAACTCAGGAAGTGATGTGGTGTGCTGTGGAGAGCGTCAGGGTGTCTTGGGGTTCTCAGAGGGACATCTTGTGATAATCCTGCTGGGGCTGCCACTTGCTCAGTGGTTCCATCTACACATGAGATCAGCTGGTGCTGCACACTAATGGCAGCGTGAATGGAGCCATCCCCAGGCACACAAGGAACCGGGTGTCCATGCAAGAGACAGGCTGAGAAACAGGACACGGCTGGCCAACCCCTTAAGGAAACGCCTGCACGAGCACTCCACCCCGTCCCCAGGCCTCCCCCATCCAGCGAGGCTGCACTCACCTGATCAATGCCCTCCTGCGAAGGACTCTCACGGTGGCGGCTGTTGGGGTCCGGAGCAGAGTCATTCAGCCACCACATGTGAGGGTTACCAAGGAGGATCTGCAAGTGCAGGACCCATTACTCTCACTACAGCCTGACCCAGGAACATGCAAGGGGCGGGAGAGAAGAGGCGTGCTTTTGGGAGCCTCTGGGCCACAGGCGGGGCTATAGCCAAAGGGGAGGCGGGAGAAAGGGCAGCTGGGCAGCCAGAGGGGTCCCGGCAGATGGGCCTCGAGCACAGTGGCACTCCCTCGCTTAGGGCCCGGGCAGAGACCTGCTGCGGTGTGCAGGACCACAGCTGCACTGGATGTGGGCAGCGTGCCGTGGAGGCGCCACACACCACAGCGCAAGAGCCGAGAACAAAGCCGCGGCTCCAGCCTTCGGTTTCTGGTTTCAGCATTTACTTTTCCTTTTTGAAACAGGGTCTCGCTCTGCAGCTCAAGCTGGCCTGGAGCTCACTTTCTACCCAGGCTGGTCTTGAACTCACAAGGACCTCCTGCCCCAGCCTCCGGTACAGGAGTGTACCATCACACCCAGCTCTTCATTTACTCTTAAATCTAAGACTTTTCAGTGTCTCCAACAGGGCACACTCTGATAGGGGCCAAATACATTTACAGAGTACTTTAAGTTAAAAATTATTCTTGAGCCCCTCAGGGAGTCAGCAGTCACCATCTGCTGCCTCATTTTGTTTTTGTGATACAAGGTTTTGTTACATAGTCCAGGCAGGCCTTGAGCTCACTACTATGTAGCCCAGGCTAGCCTCAAACTTATGGCAGTCTTCCTGCCTCAGCCTCAGGGCCGGGCAGGCTTCCCAGCTCGGCCCTGTGCCCCACAGCCTTATCCTAGTCTCCCAGGATGCTGTTCGTGGGCATCCAAGGCAGGGGTCCCTCCTCGTGCTGCTGTGGCGCAGCCCAGCTGATGACATGCCCTGCTGGTCACAGCTGACTTGTGTTTTTACAGAGCTCCTTTTGCCAATGGCTGCTGCTAAGTACACAAAACCAGAGAGCTAAGAAAAAGCTTAAGGCAGAAACTGTACACTGCCATTCTCTTCTCTTGCCTTGGAAAGCACGCCCGATACTACTAATGCTCTCTGCTGCCCACGTGAGTGCCCGCAAGGCCTGGCCGTGGCTGCTAGTGTGACGGGCGCCACGCCCAGCTAGGAGCTCTGCCACTGGCTAGAGGCCCAGAGCTGCGCACACAGGGGCCGGGCCGAGGGCCCACACTGCACTGGGGCGAAGGCATCACCTTCAGGGCTCCGTCCAGGTCCCCGCCAGCCTGGTGCAGCGCCTGCCGGGCGGCGCGCGCAGAATAGCCCATGCCTTTCAGAGAGCTGATGTTCTCCAGGCGGCGCCGCCTCTTCTCCTTCTCCTCTCGCCTGATCTGGGCCAGCTCCTGCAGGGAAGATCGAGGCCACCACGTCAGAGGCTGAGGCTTCGCAGGGCAACAGAGGGAAAACAGCGCCACTTTCCTTTTGCCCAGTCCAGCAGCAGGAGGGGTCCTGGGCCCTGCTAAGGCGGCTGAGTGGAGCCTCAGTCCAGGCAAAAAGGGGGAACCCCACACCCCATTATGCGGGACCCTCCAGGATGAGGGCCAGAGCTTCCCGAGGATCAGCCAATGCCAACGATGTTGCCTCGAAGCCAACCTGAGGGGTGAACGCTGGAGGGCCCAGGGCCACCTAGCCCCAGGGACCAGGCGCTGCTGCTCCCGCATGGCTGGCTGGCCTGTGACAGTTCTGCTCTTTCTCCCATTCCCTGGCCCAGACTGGAAGACTGCACTTGTTTTATAAATGGAAACACCCATAAAAATGTCATTTTCAGCTGCTTTAAAAAATGTGTTTGCAGGGCCAGCGAAACGGACTAAGCACCTGGGGGCATGCAGAGCCAAACCCAGTCCAGGCATGGTGGTGCATGCCTGTAACCCCAGTGCTGGGGAGGCTGAAAAAAAGGAGGATCACTGTAAGTTTGTGCTGCGTAGTGAGACCCTGTACCAAATACATAAATGGGGGAGAAAAATAATGTGTTTGTTGGGCACAGTGGTACACACCTACAATCCCATCCCTCAGGAGGCTGAAGCAGGAGGACTGCCATGAGCTGAGGTCAGCCTGGGCTGCACAGTGAGGCCCTGACTCAAAAAAAAAAAAGGGGGGGGGGAGGTCTAGGCTGGGGACTGCAGCTCAGTGGTTACAGCAACTGCCTCTTGTGGTTTTAATCTCTAGCAGTATGAGAAAAAAAAATTAAATCCAAATCCCCACAAGCTTGAAAATCACACTAATTTAATACAATGTTGGGACCAGGGAGATAGCTCGGCGGCTAAGCACCTGCCTGGCAAGCACAAGATTCTGAGTTCAATCCCTGGTACCAAAAAAACCCAAAGCAAAACAAGAATTTAATCCAGTCCCATCATTTTCTAATAAGACAGAAATTTCCCCAGAAACTACATACTGGGCCAAGGTTGTGGAGACGTGGGGCACAGTGGGCAGAGGGGTCAGTGGCCTCTGTGGGGCACTTGTCCTGGCACCACCTACATCCTGCAGCAGGAAAAGGCCTGGAGTCTTAGGAGATAAGCAGCAAACTGCAGCAGCCGGTTCCAGTTCCCACAGTGCACTCACAGCGCCGGCAGGAGGGCCAGGAGGCCCCGATGAAATGAGCCCAACTGTTGCCAGGCCCAAACATCAGGGACCTGCTGGCCCCTGCCTCTCGCCTATCTCCACCCCAATAGTACCCCCCCCCAAGGCTACCACTGTTGCCCTGCAGTGCCCTTCTGCTGCCCAGTGGGCTCAACACAGAACCCAGTGCCTAGGCCTGCACCATTCCCTCTCCATACCTCCAAGCCCAGCCAAGGCCTCCAAACTAGCCTTGTCCTGCATCTGGGCAGCAACTGCACCCTAGCGAGAGGGCTCCGCTCGACCTGTCCTGCCTCCTCACAGCTCCTTCCATCTCTGCTCTAGAGGTGAAGGCCCGACAATCTTCCCATCAGGAATACCCAGCACGGGAAGCAGGGCCACACACTGCCTAACCAGCCCGCACCTGACCGGAAGTATCCCCCAGCTCCTCCTGCAGTGACCAACAGCTCCGTCTACGCAGGACAAAGCACTTTCGGACACTTCTCTGTACTAGCAAGAGTTAGGTCCAACAAGCCTGCACACACGTTTCAAAGTGCTGCATAGAAACATCCCCGTACAGTAGAGGCAACCTTCCATGTGGGGGCTCTCACGTGAGCCCGGGCATGACAGCAGTGGGCCCAGGAAGGAGGCCAGCGGCAGCCCACGGCTGAGTGCTGTGCGCCAGGAACACCTGTTTCCTCTGGGGCCTCAGGGCCCTGCTGTACAGAACTCTGCTGCCCTCAGCCTCGTGGATGTGGCAACTCCTACAGCTGAATCCACAACGTCTGCCCGCATCTACTGTACTTTTTGGCACTGAAGCAACTAGAACCAGGACCTCGTCAGTGCTAAGCAAGCACTCTATCACTGAGCTACACCCCCGGCTTTTACTTTTAGTTTTTCATTTTGACACATTGTTTCACTACGCCATCCAGACTGTTCTCAAGTGATCCTCCTGCCTCAGCCTCCTGGACAGGTACTATACCTTAAAACTCAGTCTCTGACCCACAATTCTTGTTTGTAAAATGACCTCAAAGTGAGTCAGACAGAACTGAATGACAATGACTGTGAGTTTCTAAACTATAAAGTACTGTAACTAAAGTGTTTCTATGACCTGTGTAAAGCCCTGGTTTAAGCCCGGGTGTGCAGTCGCGGAGCAGAGCAGGTCTACCATCCCAGCACTCGTGGGGCTAAGGTGAGGCCAGCATGGGCTACAAAGTGAGCTCATGGCCGGCCGAACGTGCAGAGTGAGACCGTCTCGATAAAGAAACAAGGCCTGGCTTCCCAGACCCTACGGGATCGCACCGCTAACTAAGTTCAACAGTAAAGCAATCAATGTACTGTTCACAGCACCTCTTTTCGAGTAGTGCTCTCCCAAGTCCTAGCTTGCCTGTCACTGACCTGTGAGCCAGGCCTGTCGAGAAGGGAGCCAGCCACAGCCCCGGAAGCCACGCCCACACAGCCCCGCAGGCCCTGGCTGCCCAGTCACTGCACATCCTCAGCCCACCACGACCAGGGAGGCAAAGGGCCAGTGACACTTCCTGTCCCTCCAACAGTCCTGTTGGCTGCTTTTCTCAGCAAAAGAGGATCTGTGAGAAGATTCTAGGATCCTTTGGCTGGATTCACAGCTAGGGAGGACCTGGGAGAACCTAGCACCAACTCCCTGTTCTGCAGAAGAGAAAGCCACTCACAGCTGCCACCCTGCCTTCAGCTGTCGGGGCTTCAGGTCCTTCGCAGCACAACTCACTGACCGGCAGAAGGCTCCTCTCAGCTCCACGGGCCTCAAGCATCGACGTGGTTATATTCTCACCTGTGCTTTCATAATACAGTGCTCCTTATTTCTATGTTTGACTAATGTTCCAGACAAGAACGCAAGCCCAATCCAATTCCATGCGATGACCCCATGAAACAGCCCTCTTCAGAGTGGCTTCCAGAAACACACTGTGGTGTCAAGGGAGACCAAGGGTGAGAAGGCTGCTTATACAACCTCCACCACACAGGAAGCTGTCTTCCCTGGAAACTGGGGCAATTAAAAGATGTCTTCTTCTTCTTCTAATACTGGGAATCAAACTCAGGACCCTGGGCTTGCCAGGCAGGCGCTGATGCCGCTGAGATGCCTCCCCAGCTTTCTTTCCTTTCTGATCTGGAGGGCCAGGGTGTCTACTAGGATTATCTTGTGCATTCTCGTGCCTGAGGAGGCTCAGTACCCTGACCCCCCCCCCCCAAGCTGGCCGAGTGCAGACACGGCGCATGGGAAGCGCTACCTCTCTGCGGTTGGAGATGTGAATGGCTGCGTGGTCCACGTTGCCATCGCAGGCACGCAGGGCCAGCCGGGCTTCCTGGGGTGTGAACCCCAGCTGCATCAGGCTGTGCACTTTCGAGGGGTCGATGTGCAGCTCCTTGAAGAGCAGCCGTGCCTACAGACAGGGAAAAAGTGACAATCAGGCGGCAGGAGCGACACTAGAGCGTAACACAAAGCGCAAGCCTAGAAGAGCTGTGGTACACCTAGTGTGAATCACACTTCACATCAGAAACACCAAACCTAGCACGGACCAGAATGAGCAAGCTTATCCACTCCACCACCTGAGCGAGCAGGTGGGGAGCTGGGTGTGATGGGCCCCTTATCCCTGGCTGGGTAACACAACTCCCTGGAGCCCAGGTGCCGGGTGAGCTCGGGCAGCCGAGGCTAGGTCTGCAGCACGGAGCAGAGGACAGGCACTCTTCCAGCCCCCGCACCCTGCCCCCGTGGGAGTCACAGAGGAGCAGGGTGCCCACAGGAGCTGCTGCTCTGGCCTAGCTGCCACCTCTCAGCCTCGAGATGACAGGACAGAAACTTCTGCCCAATGAAGGTGGCTGTCTTCTGCAAGTGCTCTCACCCCAGCACCTTCCCTGGACCCCAAGAAACGCAAGGGTTTGTGGACTCTAAGTGGAGACCACGCGGAGAGGGGCACAGCTCTCCTAAGAGAACAACTTTTTTTTTTTTTTTGTGGTACGGGGGACTGAACTCAGGACCCTGCGCTTGCCAGGCAAGTGCTGTATTCTACTGAGCTACCTCCCCAGCCCAGGGACCAACTGTTGAGTTCATAAGACACTTCCCCTCTGGGGAACAGGAAAAAGGCTCCCAACATGCAAACAATGATGCAAACAGTTACCATACGGGGTGACCTTACTGAGATACTTCTCACCTTATTCAGATACTCACGGGCCTCTTCTCCATTTCCACTGTGGTAGTTTCGGATCCCCTGGAGCAAGTAAAGTCTTAAAAACAACACCTTCTCTTTCCCACAGTTGCCCTAAAGTTATCAGGAAAAAAGGACAAAACTTATTTCGAATTTCAGGTGCCTAATGCTCACATGCCCCCTTCTCCACCAGACACCACCACCAACTGTGTGGTGTCACTACGGCTGGCGGCAAAAGTGGAAACCCTGAGCACGTGGGAGGAAGGCAGGGCCAGGACACGTGCCCTTCTGGGTCAACAGGGAAGACACCACAGCAGCGAGAATCTGGGGATGCGTGGGACAAGAAGTGTGCCAGTGGGGCTGCGGCTGGAGGGAAGCTGTCGGTATCCACACGCCTGTTCTCTGCCTCTGTGCCTAGCCCTGGGGCTGACAGTGTGTCCAGGGAGACTGCAGGTGGGGGCCGTGGCCTAGGAAACCGCGCTCCTCTGGCTCAGCGCACAATGGAGAGCGCGCCCGGGAACACTCCGGAGAACATAGGTCCGAGAAGGCAGGTTATACAGGCCACCCCGGCAGCAATCTAAGGACAGTAATGGGAATAAACACAAGCTCAGAAACAAGCCCAAAGGTACACAGGTTACGGTAACATACTTTGATGTTGACCAATCGCTGATGATTTTCTCCGTAACAATTTTTCAAGCATTTCTGAGCCAAGCTGAGCTTCTTCTCTGCATCATCAAGACATTCCAGCTGCTCCAGCCGGAAGTAGCACCACACAATGTCTAGCTGGAGCACGGCGTAGTTATCCACGGTGTCCAGCAGCTCTCGGCCGCACTCACTGCAAAAGAGGGGACTACATCACTGCTGAGCCGTGTGGAAGCTTCTCACAGTGAACTCCTGGGATTCTTCCCCAGTTCTTGGGTATTTTCAAAGACTGTTTGAAAACAAAGATCCCAATGTTTCCAGTGGGAGCGGATTTATCACCTGAATGTGAAGGCTGCCAGCACACACCCACGCCCACACCCCCTGCCCGGCTAGGCTTCAAGCGGCCGAGCAGGAAGCAGAACTCAGGGCCAGCACACTACGGGTGCTCTCGGAAGTCCGTGCCCCTCCGCTCCCCTCCGCTTTCCCTCCAAACACTGAGGCAGTGTTTAGGCATGCGCAGCCTAAGGCCCCTCTGCAGCTGGGCCCCACACCCAGCCAGGGACAGCGAGCAGACCATCGGCAGCAGAATGCCGGTGAAAACAGCCACTGAGGTCACCTCCCGGGGCTCGGTGCTGTGGCTTCACTAACACTCATGACAGAAACCTAGACCTCGAGTCTGCAGGAAGAAAGGAGAACGTCTGGAACCAAGCAGTAACGTGTTCAGTTTTGTTTCCTCTGGGAGTCTCCTGAAACAAGGCTGCTCGATCCCCTGCGCTGACATTTGTCCTGAGCAAGGAGAAAATCCACCTGAGCCTCACTTGGCCCTCGTCCTCTAAAGCCACGGGCTCTTTCTCGAGGGCAGAGCCTGGAGCAGCGCAACCAGGGTGGGGCAAAAATCATGTCAGAGCAGGACTGCTGTATTTATTCACCACTCTTCCTTTTATCTTTCCATCTGGGACTCTGGCGACACGGACGCCGCACTCTGATGCGCACACACATAGGTGCAGGGCTGGGGGAAGGACACACGTCCTGAACTCTGCTCCTCAGCCTGAAGATCCAGGTGCCAGAGGGGAAAAAAGTGCGTGGGCACAGTCCCAGCTCACACTTGGGGGAGAGCTCCGTATCTGCCGAGCTACGCCCGGGTTTCTGTGGCAGAGAAGGCCCTATGGCCCATGGAACACAACGGACACTTTGCCACACTGTTTCTCACAGGTGTGAACAGGCTCTTCAATTAACGTCAAGAATAAGAACAGAAATGGTCTCTTCAGTTAACAAGAAAATCAACACATGCTCAAAACTGTGTGTATGTTTTATCCTATGAGCTTCAAGAAATCTACACCTAGGTCTTTTCTTTTTTTTTAATTTAAATTGTATTTATTTGTGTGTGTGTGTGTGCGTGTGTAGCCAGTTCAGCCTACCAGGGGGCGGGGCTGGGGGATTGAACCGCGGTCCCTGGGCTTTGCTAAACTTGTTCTAAGTAGGTGCTTTAGACCACTGAGCCATCTCACCAGCCCCTACACCCAGGTCTTATATAATTTTGAAACTGATCATTTCATTTGGGGGGAAGAGATTTTAGAAATCTGCTATAAAAGTATTCCACAGTAAAAATAAAGTAAAATAAAAAATAAAAATACCTTAAAAAGGGAGGCCGGGGAGATGGCTCAGTAGAATAAGCACTTCCCTGGCAAGCGCAAGGGCCTGAGTTCAATCCCCGGTTCCGCAAACAAAACAAAACTTTAGAGTATACATTTTTTAATATTTTTATGTATTTAGTACAGGGTCTCACTACACAGATTGGACTCCTAGTGATCCTCCTGCTTTCAGCCTCCCAAGAGCTGGGATTGTAGGCGTGCACCACCACGCCCAGTCTCAATCACTGGCTGGGTGCCCCGGGGTGGGGCGGCGCGGCACAGTATGGCACACAGCAGCGGATCGAACCCCAGTCCCTGCATCTGCCTATGCAAGCGCTTTAATCCACCGAGCTGCCTGGCCAGTCCTACAGTATATCTTTATTAATATTATTTTGGCTTATGTATTTTTGCAGTTTACAGTTTTAGTAACTTTAATATTCAACAGTGTCAGTGAACTTTCACATTTCATTAAAAAGTACAGTGCTTATTAAAATCTGAGTCTAGCTTTAGAAAAATAAAATGCCATTAGGGAGACAGATAGCTTAGCAGCATAGCACCTGCCTGCAAACACAAGGTCATGAGTTCAATTCCTGACACCAAAAACAGAAACCTAAGTGCCATTTGGGCTTATTTAACAAAACAATTTAAATATTATTTAACAAAAATTTACTGTTTGCCTCAGAAGGTTTTGTTTTGGGGCCGGGGAGATGGCTCAGTAGGATAAGCGCTTGACTGGCAAACACAAGGATCTGAGTTCAATCCCCGGTTCTGCAAAAAAAAAAAAAAAAAAAAAGAAGGTTTTGTTTTGTTTTGTTTTTGGCAGAACCAGGGATTGAACTCAGGCCCTTGCACTTGCCAGGCAAGAGCTTATTCTACTGAGCCATCTCCCTGGCCCCACAAGTTTCAACCTTTATGTAAAATGTATAAAGATAACAATCGCAAGAAAGTAAGCTAAGCTTACATCTCTCTCTCTCTTTTTTTTAATTAAGGAAAGGTGGGTTAAAAAGTCACTGGGCTGGGGAGACAGCTCAGTAGAATAAGCGCTTGGTCCTAGGTTCAACCCCCAGTACCACCAAAAAAAAAAAAGTCACTCGTAGTTTCACGGTTGGTTTTAAGAAATCAGCTGGATTCTGCTGTGCCTGGGCCCCGGGCTTTTTTCTGCTAGGATTTGCAGTCCCGGGGAGTCCGGGAGTTTCAGCTTTCTTTCTTCTCCTCTCCCTCTACCCCACGCCCCTCAGGAACTCTGAGACAGCTGCGCTGGCATCTTTTCTTCCTTCCTCCCAGGCATCTTGCTAAGCCACCCTTGAACTCCCAGCACCACCTCCTCCTCCAGCGCTTTCTCCTCCGCAGGCTACGCTTTGGCTGAGCCCACTCAGCACAGCCCACCACAGGCTCCGCACCCTCTGCACGAGCCGCTGTCTGCGAGGCGTGCTCACTGCCCTCCCACCTCGAGGGCACAGAGCACAGTTCCTGCTCCAAAGCCCCACCCCGCCAGGGCGAGCGGCTGCATCACTTCCGGATCTGCTTCTGTTGGCTGTGCGCTCCTTGTTTTCTTGCACACTGCACTGCTGCTAATTTTCAACCCGACGCGGAATATTTCTGTGATGCTGGCCTGCTCAGCCTCGGTGAGGATGTGCTTCCTACTTGCTGTTCCTAGCAGACCCTTCTGAAAGCTCAAAATGGAGCCCAGACTCCATTCCTGACACAGTTAATAAACCAAAAGGAACTGCAACTACTCTCAGTCATGCTCCACGCCCTTCCTGAAGATAAAGAGTAGAAAGCTGCGGGAGACTTCTAGTGTCCTTGCAGAAGGCAGAAAATAATTAAGCGGGAAAGAAATGGAATGGGGGGGCAGCATTCCAGGGTCTCCTCCATGTATGGAGTACACCAGCCAGAATGACTGGACTGGCCAGGAGAAGGCCTTGGCTCTCTGCCGCCTCGGCTGGCTGCAGAGGTTTCCCAAGTCCCACCACCCGTCAGAGGCCTCGTCTGAAGTGTGGCACTACTGGCAGGTGGCACAAAGTCCAGGAGGGGTGCCTGTGAGAGGTTCTTGGTGACTGGAGTGCCCTTGAAGGGACCACAGGCCCAGTCTCTCTCTATCCCTCCACAGGCCGTCTCTCTGTCCTTCCCTCTCCCTGCTTTCCGACCACCACGAGGTGAACAGGCCTCTGCAGCCATGAGCTTCTGCCACCATGGCTGAAGCCCCCCAAATTTTAAGGCAAAATAAACTTTCTCTAGCCTAGTAACTGCAGATACACGTTATAGTGACAGAATGCTGCTGACATCTACTTGCAGACACTGACTACGCGATTACTGCAGAACACGCTGATGTGCCATGAGGGCAGTGTGCTCGCTCATGGGCGTCTGACATCTAAAAATATGAAAGGACTGTTCAAGTGAAAAGGCCAAGAAGCTGGGCATGAGGGCGCACGCCTGTAATCCCAGCACTCTGGAGGCTGGGGCAGGAGGACTGCTGCAAGTCTGAGGCCAGCTTGGGCCTGAACTCGGCATAGAGAGACCCTGTCTCAAAAAGACGGAAAAAGAAAAGATGGAATGGAGGCTCTGGGGACCAGGAACTGTGTGGTTAAAACAGGAGTCTTTAAAAAAAAAAAAAAAAAAAAAAAAAAGGAGATAACAGAATGGTGGAGATCATCAACCTTTTCTTGACAACTGTCACTATACAGGAATTTAATATACCAGTTTATATTTCTAACATACTCTTGAAATTTCCTGTAACAACAGGTATAGGACTATCAGAGCAACTATGCAAGAAAATAAAAATTACCCACATTTTAAGAAATGAACTGAAGAGTCTATGCTGCTTGCAGCAGAGAATGAAGCCAACTGCAGAAAGCAGAAGAGAGAGAGACAGAGACAGAGACAGACAGACAGAGAGACACAGACAGACAGACAGACAGACAGAGACCCTGGAGGCTCCCAACCTTCCCTTTCCTCCCAAATTTTGGACAATAAATCCTTTTGTTGCATAAGTTAAAGTTGAAATTGTTTCATTTAACACCCCAAAGAGTTGACCAGGGCAAACTATAAACATCTGCATTTATCTTCTTCAAGTATAAAGGATAATCTTTGGAATTCACCCAAAATAGAAGTTTACACCGATGTTAACTTTTAAATATTAAAACAACAAAAAAATCAAATCAAACACCACCTATACCTGCGTTACAGTCTGAGTGCTGTCACCCAGAACAAGGGCCAGGAACCTTGCGAAGTTACTGGCTCCTGGCCTCGCCATGCCATGAAGTGTCCCTGGGCCCCCGAGTGAGCGTCTACAGAGGACACCACCATCAGGTCTAAAGGACATGGGGTCACTCACCAGGCAAAGAGGGCAAATTTAAGCTGTAAAGTTTGAAGCCATCCATGAATTAATAGTTTTGCAGGGGCTGGAGAGATAGCTCAGCAGAATAAGAGCTTGCCTGGCAAGCATAAGGGCCTGAGTTCAATCCCCAGTTCCACAAAAAAAAAAGTTTTGCTACTTAAAAAAAAAAAAAAATACCAAAACAAAAAACAAAACTCATTGATTACCTTAGCATAGCCAAACAGCTGAGGGGAAAAACATTCGTCCCCAGGGAACTCCACAGTAAACAGGCGGCACAGCCCTACTGCAACAGTGACCTGGGGAGGGAGCCCCAACACCGCCCCAGCGCCGGGAGGCAAAAGCTCATGGCGCTGTGCCGCACGCAGGTGGCTCAGGCAGCTCACCTCACGCAACAGACAGAACAGGCCAAACGCTCACTGCCAAAAAAAAAGTGCCTAAACTTCCACAATTCTGTGTAGGGAAGAAAAGCCAATTAAAACCACAAAGGGCAGGACAGGCGAGATAGCTCAGCGGACTAAGCACCTGCTTTGGCAAGCACAGAGATGATCCCTGGTCCTGCATGCTGCGCCGGCCCCACCCCCATGGTGCACTGTCTGGGCGTGGTGGCGCATGCCTGTAATCCCAGTGCTGGGGAGGCTGAAAACAGGAGGATTACTACAAGTCCAAGCTGCATAGTTAGACCCCGTACCAAATACATAAAAATGGAAAAAACAGCAACAACAAAAAAAACCCCACAGGGCAGAAAGGATTCACAGGTGGTCTAGGCTGTAACTGATCCTATACATCAACCTGTCTGGGTGACAGTGAGTGTGAGCCGCGCCGTGCATGACCTGGGCCGCATCAAGGACCAGAGTGCCTACCAGAAGTACCGGTCAGCATCCAGGAGGCAGGGCAGGGCGATTCCATATTCCTTCCTTTTCAGGAACGCTCTGCCCTTCTCATGATATCCCATGGCTAACGTAAGGGCCTAGGAAAGAATGGAGATTTTAAAGACATCATTTTAAAATAAAACAAAACAAATGATATCAAAAGCACACTAATTCTAAGCAAAAGTACATAAGGTTAATAAGCTCACAACTCAATCTAAGCCCAGACTAAGACAACTGTGGCGAAGGCTGTGCTGTGCCTAGGTGAAGCCCAGCCGTGCCCGCAGCGAGCAGCACCCCAGCTGTGCTCACCTGTCTACTCAGGGTCCGCAGGCCTCAGCCGCGCAAGGGGTCGATCTGGCTAACCACAAAAAGGAAGCCAGCAGTTCTTAGTCTTTTAAAAAGATCACTTTCCTTTTTTTTGAGGGTCTTGCTCTTGTTCCGGCTGATCTCAAACCTCAGGGGTCAAGAAACATCCACCTTGGCATCTGGGGAGCTAGGGTTCAGCACATGCCCCTGTAGCTGCCAGCCCTTTCTCCTGAGGTACCTGACAACATCAGCGCTTCCAAAGAAAATCTGAAAGGCTTTCACGTTTCACTTGGTAAATGTCACCCAGAGGCCCATGTGTTGAACACAGGCTTGGGACGCCAGGGATCTCGCAGGAGGTCCTAAGGTCACCGGCATTCACTCTTGAGGGGGACCACGGGGCTCTGGCTGTCCTGTGCCACCTTTTGATAAAGAGTACAGTCTTGCTCTGCCACCTGCTGCAGGTGCACACCATCATGCTCAGCTTCCAAATCATCTCTTAAGGGCAGAAAAACACCCCCAGATGTGGTGGCACACACCTGTAATCCCAGCACTCTTGGAGGCTGGGGCGGGAGGATCCCAAGTTTGAGCACAGTCTGGACAACCCAGTGAGACAAAAAATAAAAATATGCTGGTGGGAATGCAGCTCAGTGTGAACCCAGGACCCGAGTTCAGGTCCTTGTACCACAAAAAAAGCAACAACTCCTAGTCACAGCAGCTCTTAATTTAAGAAGCACCTGGGCCTGGCCTACAGCTGGCAGCACCCGAAGCCACCATCTCTTCTGCCCACAGAGCAGAAAGGAGGCATGGCCCCCAGCACTCACCTTCTTCTGTGATGGGGGGATGCGGATGGACCTGCCCGTCTGGTTTGCTATGTCCAGGTAGGGTGTGGTTTCAGGGTCCACCACCATTTCAGCTGCATCAAGACCAAAGGAACCCCATTAACTCAGTGACAACATCAACCAGCAGGGACAACATGCAGACTGCTGGGCTTGGGGGACCCCACCAGACACACGATTTGTGGGCCTCGCTACCACCTTGGCGTAGCTGACGAGGTGACCAGCGCCAAGTGCCGCCTACCTCTCTTTGCCAGGATCTCCAGCCCTTTCTTCGTTCTCTGAATTCGCTTTTCTTTTAGTTCGGCCTCATTTTGTTTCTCCTCCTCTTCCTGGGAGGTTTTCCTCACGTCCTCCTCAGACTGCTTGAGCTCCAGCACCATGGCCTTCACATTGTGGGTCACCCCTTGCTCTTCTAGGCTCTTCCCTGTCAACACCAGGATTGCATCTACTATGAATTTACTGGTCCCATAGGCGTGCACAGGCACTACAAGCCTGCAGATCACGCCATTGGTAAGAAGGCGCATGGCCAGGCGTGGGTGCACACCTGTGATTCCAGCACTTAGGTGGCAGAGGAAGGAGGATCACTGTGAGTTCAAGACCAGCCTGAGCTATGCAGTGAGAGCCTATCTCAAAAAACAAAAATAAGAACACAAAAATGTAAAAGCTAGCTTTCCAGGCAAACGTTAGCCAGATATACAAACCTGATAAAAATTACATCCAAGATGTATAAAAGCAAACAATGAACAAGATAAACACAGATGTAGGCAGATTTTAAAATAGGTGTAAAATTTGAACTTCTGGAAAATTCTAGCTGGATTTCTTTTAAAGGAACGTGGCAACCATCCTAATAAACACAAAAGTGAAGATCCACAAATCTTAAGTCTTAACTGCATACAACAGAATCACGACCGAGACTCAACTCGGCAGGTTTTAAGGCTGCAAAAAGCCCACAAAAGGCAGCCACCAAGGGAGGTAGGACACTAAGGGAGGTAGGACAGAAAAGGATGCAGCAGGGCCTAAAGCCAAAGGATAAGAGACATTGCCAACAGCCAAGCAAAGGGCAGGCTGTTCCCTCAGCAGAGGTCCTGGAAGGAAAGGAAAGTGGGTCCTCAGCCTCTGTGGAGCCTCTGGACAGCCGAGAGCCCTTCACTGCATTAAACCAGGAATATGCAAGTAAATGCAGAGTATTCCTGTGGTTCTGGCCCTGGGGAAAGAACTTTTTTTTTTTTTTTTTTTTTTTTGCGGAACTGGGGATTGAACTCAGGTCCTTGCGCTCCAGGGAAGCGCTTATTCCACTGAGCCATCTCCCGGCGGAAAGAACTTCTTTAACCAAACATAAAACATGAAGCAATGGATTTGATAACCACCAAATCAAGGACCCCTGTCCACAAACAATACTGCAAACAGCACAACGACAAGGTGACAGCGACAGGCTACCTCTGGAGTGCGGTATCTACAAACATGGAAAGGCAGGTGAGTCACACCAGGCTTAGAAAATGTGAACCTGACTCCTGCAGAATCCAGCGGAAACGGATGAAACCGCGGCACCTGCCACGACCGCTGCAGGGCTGATGTCTCCCCGGCCTTCCCACTCTGGCCACCGGTGGGTGAGCGAGACCCCGAGACCCCAGAGAGACAGGGCTGGTGTCCGCCCATCTCCGTTCTGCACAGCAGTGCACAACAGCTCCTGCTGCAGCAGTCTGGTTGTACACGCTGCCCCGGGCACAGATGGGTGGCACAACCCTGGCCTCTACCCACCAGAGCTCAAGGGTGCATCTCCTCCACCAGGTTCTCACAACCAAAAATATCTCCTGGGATGCCAAGGATCCTGCAAGGGCACAATCGCCCCAAGGATCCTGCAAGGGCACAATCGCCCCTCACTGGGAACCGCAGCTACAGCTCCATGCACTCAGGAACTCCAGCTTCCTCAGCCCCCACCCTGGTGCTGCAACACAAGCTGAGAGGCTGCCTGTCACTCAGAAGCCCCCAGCCTAAAACGTCTCAGCTTCTCTTCCTCACTGCAGGCCGGGGCATTTACTGGAAATCTGCTTTCTGCTTCACACTGTTCTTTTTTTTTTTTTGCGGAACTGGGGATTGAACTCAGGCCCTTGCGCTTGCCAGACAAGCACTTATTCTACTGAGCCATCTCCCCAGCCCCCACACTGTTCTTTTAACAAACGCCTACAACAATTGGTTTTCAGTCATAAATGTGACAAATTTAAAAATTTATGAAGAGAAGAAATGTGATGGAACTGGGCATGGCAGTGCACACTCAGGAGGCTAAGACAGGAGGGTGCTGGAAGTTTGAGACCAGCCTGGCTACAAATGAGCACAAGTCCAGCCTGAACTGCAAAGCGAGACCCTGTCTCAAAAAAAAAGAAAGAAAAAGAAAGAAAAAGAAAAAAGAAAAGAAAGAAAGAAAGAAAGAAAGAAAGAAAGAAAGAAAGAGAGAAAGAAATGTGAGAAAAGAAATTCAGTCACCATTTCTGTGTTAACTCGCTGGGAACCTCCCATAACGTACCTAGTTGAAGCAGTTTCTTATTTATGACAATCTTGATGTAATTTTCTTGAAATCCAAAGGTGTCTGCTATTCTGTAAAATAATACTAATGAAAACTGCAGGAAGGCAAAGCTGTTAGTTACTATCCACCAAGAAAGTTTTACTCATCACACCTGGTTCGTACATTTCACTCAGAGACACACAGTATTCCAACTCTCTGCCTCACTGGCTCACTCCGCTTGCAGCTACCTTAGCGAGCAGCCCCTTTTCTACATCATGAGACCTGCGTTTCCCCAGGCAGGGGGACTATGAAGCTGCTTCTCAGGGAAAGGTCCACCTGAGGCCTCCTGGGTCTCCTTGAAGAAGCCCAGAGCTGGGTGTCAAATAAGCGGCCTTCGCAAATCCAACCCTAGCAACCCTGACACCCAAGAAGAAAATGGGCAAATCAGCTGAAGAAATAGTGACTGCCACACCTTGGAGGTGGCTAAACGACCAATTAAAAACACACCAACTGGGCAGACATTTAATTCTCACAGGTGAGCATTTACTTTACTTTTTTTTTTAATCTTTTATTTACGTATTTGGTACAGGGTCTCACTACACAGCCCAGCCTCATAATGATCCCGTCTCAGGCTGCCCAGTGCTGGGATTAAAGGTGTGCACCACCACATGTCTCTGGGGCTGGCCCAGCATACAGTACTAGAGATCCAACCTGGGTCCTTGCACTTGCCAGGCAGGCGCTTACACCGCCCAGTTATCCACCTGGCTCCTAATTCACTTTTTTTTTTTTTTTTGGCAGAACCGGGGACTGAACTCAGGCCCTTGCACTTGCCAGGCAAGTGCTTAGTCCACTGAGCTATCTCCCTGGCCCCTTAATTCACTTTCTTGCTAGATATTATTTTCATGTGATTTGGCTAAATCACATGCACTTTCCTAAGTAAATAAAATCAGTTGCAGATGGAAAAAAAAAACCAACTCATTAAAAAAGAAAAGTTTGGGGTCGGGGAGATGGCTCAGTAGAATAAGTGCTTGCCTGGCAAGCGCAAGGGTCTGAGTTCAATCCCCGATTCCGCAAAAAAAGAAAGAAAGAAAAGTTTATGCTAATATTGTATGGACAAGATATCATGCCTGTATCTTTTACTCTTAAATATAATTTCTACAAAGAAAATAATACATTAAAAAAAAAAAAACAATACATAATGTATCAACTATTACAACTGTCCTACTAACCTGTTTTAAATTTCAGGTTCATTGCTGTGTTTATCTTTAAAAAAAAAAAAAAAAAAGCCCAAACACTTAAGTAGATGACACAATCCGTCCAGGCATTTGCTATTGTGACAGGTAGGCATTTATGTGGTCCACGAATGGGACAACAGCTTAAAATCAGGTAAGTAGCTTTGCTGAAGGATGCTGTAAGCTGGCAGTGCACCAAGGGCTGGAACTGAACAGTAACACCAGCGAGCTATGGTGGTGCACACCTGTAATCCCAGCAGAGGCTGAGGCAGGAAGATCAAGTTCAAGACCAGCCCGGGCTATGAAGTGAGCCAAGCAGCCACTCAGCCCCACAGTGCGCCCAGGCCTGGCCTCCCTGCTGGCTCCCACCTGTCCCAGGATGAAGCAAGCCCACAGGAGGCAGGTATGGCACACACTCACTTAGACCGCAGGTCTCTGCCACTGATGTGCAGTCGGGTCTCCAGCACATTTTTCTTGTCCTGTATTTTAAAAAATAAGACAAAAGAAAATGTGTTGCTGGGCACAGTGGCACATGCCTGTAATCCCAGCACTGGGGAGGCTGAGGCAGGAGGATCGCTGGTGAGTTTGAGGCCAGCTTGGGCTACATAGTGAGCTCAAGACCAGCCTGTACTGCATGGCAAGACCTGTCTCAAAAAAACAAAAGTAAATAAATAAAAATAAACAAATAAGTAATAGTGCAACGCACTAAGATTTGACATTTCTCTATCTACGAAGTCTGCAAAGCTGGTGTCACAAAAGGTTAACTCAAGTCACTGGTTAAATGCACCCTGTCTGGAGAAGCCTGCTGAACATAAACCAGAGCAGGCTGACCTCGAAACCGGAATGTCCCTGAGGTGGCAGCGGCAGGCCGGTCACACAGCAAGCCACCCTTACAGCCCCATCTCAGTGCACTGCCATTCAGCTTCCCTCAAACACAACCCAGCCCCGCAGCCCCTTTCCCTCCCTTCTTCTCCCCAGTCCCTGCCGCTACTGCATTTTCTGTCTCCAGATCGGCCCATCTGGGGCCTTTCAGAGAAACAGGGTCACACAGCACGCAGCCCTTCACTCAGCAAGTGTCCAGGCTCGTGTGCACACGCACCAGGTTTCACTCTGCTGCCCAGCAGCTTCCTGCAGAACAGACAGCTCACATTTATCGACTGCGCACCTGCGGGGGGACCTCTGGGCGACATGTGCCTTTCAGCACATTTGTGTTGTTACCTACACGCTGCTGTCTCTTCTCAGAGGCACTGCTGAGTGCCTGGCCACTGTGACACGGCGGATGTGGGCTGACAGCGTGGCGCTGAGCGAGGCTCTGGCCTCAGAGAGTAGGAGAAGGATGAATTCGTGTGAGATGAGTCCTGCTGTTCTATAAACATAGGGTGCTCCTCTTTGATGCCCAGTATTTGTAATCATTAAAAGTAGGAAGAGTGTGACACATGGCTCTGCGACATCTAGAAGGTCCAGGACAAACACACCTGTTCTGGAATGGGCCAGGGTGAGGAAGTCCCCAATAACAAATGGCGTCACTTCAAGGCACTTTAGCTCTGAATGGCAACTTAAAAGGACAACTTATTTCACCAGTAATCCTAGCACTCAGGAGGCTGAGGCAGTAGGGTCACTTCAAGGCCAGCCTGGCTACAAAGTGAGTTCAAGGCCAGCAGAGCGAAACCCTGTCTCCAATTTTTTTTATTTTATCACCATCACTAAGTATGGCTACTCACTTTTTTAAGTCTTGAGGGTAAAAACACCTCAATTGTAGCAATTCCAGTTGTTCTGTAATTCTCATTTCCTGTTCCACGCTCAATTGCTTTGCAGCGTATTTCTTCTATTATCTTTTCTACTTCATTTTCACAACACCCAAGCTTGTCAGAGTATCTATTTGCGAGGTCCTGGGAAGAAAAATCAGAAAACACGGCTTAATACGGCTTAATACGAGACCAACACCAAAACCAAGACAAGGGCGAAACCCAGAAGGCGGCACGGAGGCCCTGGGTGCCAGCTCAGAGTGGAGGTTCCCTACTGTACTGAATCCAGCCACAGCTCTTAGGGTCCGGGAAAGTCAGGCATGCAGACAGTGTAAGCGGTCCGATGGACAAAGTAAAAATAAACAGGACTGTTCTAGGGGAAAAAGAAGGGTAGACACACTGACTCTTGTGCCCTCAGTACATTAAGAAATTATTTTATTTAAATTAAAAAGGGGTTTTTTTTGGTACCAGGGGTCAAACTCAGGACCTTGTGCTTGCTAGGCAGGTACTTAAGCCACTGAGCCATCGCCCCAATAAATTACTTTAGGGAACAGCTCACTATTCTACTCCCCTACAGGGGAAAAAAGCAAAGCAAGCAGAGAAAATATTCTAATTTTTGAACGTGTGAAAACAAGATGGGTTACACTATCTTGGTTACCTTTTTTTTTTTTTTGCTAGCTCAGGATGCCTTAAAGGCAGGGCAGGTAAGGCATGAGGGTCTGGGGATTGAACCACAGCAGACTAAGCGTGACTACCTTGCTTGAGCTGGCACTTAAACAACTGAGCTAACTGGCAGGCCCCCATTATTATTTATTTACTTTTTGGGGGGGCAGAACCAGGGATTGAACTCAGACCCTTGCACTTGCCAGGGAAGCGCTTATTCTACTGAGCCATCTCCCCGGCCCCTTTGGCTACTTTTCTGATGCCCAAAATCAGAAAGAAAAGGTTTATTTAGCTCCGTTTGTGGAGGTTTCGGTCCATAATCTGCTCCAAGGCAGGGCAGCATGGCACCGGGCAAGCATTCACGGAGGGGACAGACAGAAAAAGCAGCAAGAGCAAAGGACTGGAGCGCGAGCAAGCCTCTTCCCCTCTCTTACAGCCCACGCAGGCTGCCCACCCCCGGATGGGAGGGGCGCTCACACGCCTAAGCCCAGCACGAGTCAATCAACTAACCACAGACTCTAGTTTATTGAGTGGTTTTTGTATGGTGCCACTGGGCGATAGCCAGCCCTACAAACTATTAGCCACGTCCAGAAAGCTCAGCCCCCACAGCCACGGAAGGATTGGGGCGGGGTGGGGTGGGGCCTCCAGACACAAACTGTAACACACAAACAACTTTCTCCACAGAACATTCTAAGTCACTGGTTGTAAAGATTATTTGTCAAGGAGAGATTTAGGAGCCTCCAGAAAGGATGTGAAAGCCAAGGATGACAGCTCAGAGGCCTAAGCACCTGCCTGGAAGCACAAGGTCCCAAGTTCCATCTCAGGTACCAAAAAAACCCAATGTGAAGGCCACGCATAGTGACACAAGCCTGTAATTCCAGTACTCTGGAGACTGAGGCAGTAGGACAGCTGCGAGTTCCAGGCCAGCCTGGGATATAAAGTGAGTTCAAGGGTAGCTTAAACTGCACAGTGAAACCCTTTTCTTTCTTTCTTTCTTTTTTTTTTTTTTTTTTTTTTTCTTTCTTTCTTTCTTTTTTTTTTTTTTTTTTTTTTTTTTTTTTTTTGTGGTACTGGGGATTGAAATCAGGACCCTACACTTGCCTGGCAAGCGCTTAATTCTAAGGTGCTATCTCCCCAGCCCATGAAACCCTATTTTAAAAAGACAAAAACGAAAACAAGATGCTCACAACATATAAAGTTATAAAACAAATATGAATATTTTTAAAATACTAACTTATTTGGGCTGGGGAATATAACTTAGTGGCGCAAGCACCTGCCTGGCAAGTGCAAGGTCCTGTGAGTGCAATTCCCAGTACCTAAATAAATACAGTAAAATATTAACTCTAACAAAATTTTAAATAGTCACATAACACAAAAGTTAGAATATATCAATACTGATGTTGTTTAATACAGTTTTAAAAATATATTCTTCGGGTTGGGGATATGGCTCAGTGACATAAGTGCCTGCCTGGCAAGCACAGGAGCCTGAGTTCAAACCCTGGTACTAAAAATAAAATTATTCTTCATCTCTTTTGTATTTATTTGTTTGGTGCAGGGTCTCACTACACAGCTTGCACTCGTAGTGATCCTCCTGTTTTCAGCCTCCCCTGTGCTGGGATCACAGGCATGTGCCACCTCACTCAGTCTTGTGGCTGGCTCAGCACAGCCAGGTGCAGGGCCAGCGTGGCATGTGGTGCCAGGGATCGAATCCTGGTCCCTGTGCTTGCCTAAGCAGGTGCTTACTCTGCTGAGCTATCTCACCGGCCATCGATTTTGTATTTAATTATACTCCTGCACCATACAACTGTATGTACAATGTTGGTCTCATAAAATACAGTGGGAGCTGGGCTGGGGAGACAGCTTGGTAGTCTAAGTGTCTGCCCAACAAACGCAAGGATCTGGATTCGATCCCTGGTACCACGTGCTGTGCCAGCCACTGGAACCAGGCATGGTGGCGCATGCCTGTAATCCCAGCACTGAGGCAGCTAAGACAGGAGGATCATTATGAGTCTGCACTGTATAGAGAAACTCTGTAGCAAATAAATAAACAGGAGATTGTGTGTATGAGCTGAAACTTCCTACTGCCCGGGGACCATGGTGCAGGCGCTACTCACACCTGTGATAATGCTGGCTCAGCACGCCCACCCCGAGGCAGTCCTACCATCGCGCAGCACACACGACTCTGTACCGGCGCACACTGCTTTAACGGTACGAAATGACCAGGCCTTCGAAGGCAGCAGCCGCCCCGACCTCACAGGCATGGAGGCTCTAACCTGCGCCCTGCGCTTGCCCAGCAGTTAGGCGCACACTCCTGAGCACGCGTGCACACAGGCTGAGCACTCCTACGACAAGAGGCCGAAACCCGAGCTCCGTGAGTGCCCACAACACAAGCTTCAGACGCCTGCTTCTTGGTGTACTCTGGACGTCAGCTTTGAAGACGCTGCACAGCCCAGCACTCCGGGAGCTGAGGCACGAGTACTACAAGTATGAGCCCAGCCTGGGGAACTCAGTGAGCTGGTTAGACTGTCTCAAAAGAATAAATGGCCAGAGATATGGCTCAGGGCAAAAACTAGGGAGGCTATTTGTAAAGCTGATGCAAATTATCTTAAAACCTGAAAGACTCTGAGATGCACTTCTAGTCTTACGCATTTGTGACAGGGACACTTAACCTACATACATTTTTTGTGAGTGTGAGCCCAGCCTGGGCTACACAGTGAGTTCCAGCCCTGCCTCAATGGCACAGTAAGACCCTGACTCAAAAAAAAAAAAAAAGCTCTAATTTTCTAAAACCCCCAACTACCTACCTAGTGCGGGTGTCCTACAGTTCAAATCAGTTCTGACTCTCATACCAAAGCCGGGGTTGGACTCCACAGGTCTGAGGGCTCCATTGGGACCAGGTACCCAGTGTCCAGGGCCCAGGTAACCCACACTTCTATCCCACAGGCTATGAGGCTGAGTCCCCACGATCTCCCTCAGAGTGTGCTACTTTGCTATGAGCCACAGAACACAGGAACACAGGACACTTACTATTCTCTCTCAAGACAAAGGAAACAAATGAACAGTTAGATAAGGTCAGGTTGGAAAGGCCCCAATGGTGCCTCAGTGCCCCCCAGGGTTGACCCAAGCCAGGCTCCAGTGTCCGAAGGCTTCTGCCAATTTAGAAGCTGCCTGAGCCGGTCATTCAAGGGTTTTCACAGAAGCACAAACAATGCCATAACACCACTTCCTGAAGCACTCCTGGCCCTAGAGGCTCCAGGGTGGAGCCAGCAGTTCCCAACAGCTCATTAAGGTTTGCACTTTCAGTGTCCAACCTCATTCTGAAGCTATCTCAGGGCCACCAGGCATCATTAAGACAAAAAGACACCATCATCCTCACCATCTGCAAGGGTTTCAGCTCTGCCAGAAACTGGCTGGAACGAAGATCAAGTATCTCCTGTACAGCTAAGTCACACCAAGCAAATTCCAAAGTGGGATGCCAGAAACAAAACAGAACAGGCCAGGTCTCGGGGAGCACACCTGACACCCAGCACTCAGGAGGCTGAGGCAGGAGGACTGCAGTTAGTTCAAGGCCAGCCTGGGCTACCGCCACGTTCTGGCTAGAGCACAACTGCTGTTATCCTGCCCAGATGCACCTCAGCTGAATGCCAACACCGCGACTTACATTCCCAATGACCGCGTCCCCCTCCTTCCCCACCCCAGTCCTGGACACCTTTACTGCGCACACATGGGAACCCCCAGTCAGGTCCTTCAGTGTCACTAAAGCTGCCCCTCACACTCCACCCCTAGCAAAAGCCCAGTCTCAGCTCTCCATTGCCTCAGAGCAGAGTATCCTCCAACCCTAGATTCTCTGCACATCCTCAGAGTCAATAAAGGCTTCCTCCCTTTCTTTTACTTCTGCTTCTCTGCTGCACCGGAAAAACCTAACAGCTACACAATGAGTCCAAAGCCAACCTTAACTACATAATGAGACCCTGCCACGAAACAAAACAGGCTGGATGTCCAGCACTTGGAAGGCTGAGGCAGGACGACTGCCGTGAGTGTGAGGCCAGCCTGAACTACAGTGAAACCCCACTTCAAAAAACAAAACAAAAAAAAAACAAAAAAACAAAAAAGCAAGCGTTTGCCTGGCAAGCGCATGACCCTGAGTTCAATCCCTGGCACCGCAGAGAGAGAAAAAAAAAAGCAGCAGCACAACAGACTTCCCATGGTGCGAGCCTGGATAGTTTCCCAAGGGCCCCTATATTAAAGACATGGTTCCTAGGGAGGCCTTAGGAGGCTGGGCCTAATGGGAGGTCCTTGTCATGGGGGTGGGGGCTACCCTGGGAAGGGATCATGTCCCATGTCCAGGTCCTCCAGTAAGTTGTCTCTCCTTCTTTTTCTTTTCTTTCTTTTCTTTTGGCAGAACCAGGGATTGAACTCAGGCCCTTGCTTTCCACTGAGCCATCTCCCCAGCCCAGGTAAGCAGTGAGACACACAGCTCTGCCAGAGGCCCAGAGCCAGGGAATACACTTGATCTTGGAATGAAGCCTCCAGGCTAGGAACCCAAATACACCTTTCTCTTTCGAAATGAATGGTGCCAAGTACTTCGTTAGTAACAGAAAGCTGACCACAACAATGCGTGAGAAATGAGATAAGTTCACATTAATAAAGCATCAAGGATACAGCTCCATGGCAGACCGCCTGCCAAGCACACGAGGCCCTGGGTTCAAATACCCAACGTGATGAAACTGTCTGTATCAGTATATAAAAATACGGCTCAGTGGCAGTAGACCTGCCTGAAAGATTCCCAGTTCCAAAAACAAAATGAGGGGGCACCTGTTCGTCACTAATGCTTTTGGTGACATCCAAAGTTCATAGTGCTATGCCTGGCAATTTCTAGCAGCTAGACTCTTACTAGCAATGAGATCTATAACACTGCTAATTACATATGTCTTTTTTTTTTTTTTTTTTTTTTT